TTTATATTTTTACAAATAATACCGTATTTTTATTTTATATTTTTACAAATAATACCGGATTTTTATTTTATATTTTTACAAATAATAGAGGGTTTTTATTTTATATTTTTACAAATAATACCGTATTTTTATTTTATATTTTCACAAATAATACAGGATTTTTATTTTATTTTTCTACAAATAATACAGAATTTTTATTTTATTTTTCACAAATAATACCGGCTTTCACGGTAGGCATTAGTGCGTTAAGCAAATATCATGTATCGTAAATAAAGAATAATTAAAAATAAAATAAATGTAAAAAAGAAACATGAGGAAGAGTTGTGATAAAAAAGCAACAAACTGAGATACAAGAAATACCAGACAAAACTAATGATAGTATTTCATCTTAGAAATCTGAACAACTTAAGGCAAATGTATCAAAATAACAAACAAACAATATAGAAGTAAAAATCAGAGATGGTCGAATGTAGTTCTATGACTAAATATGAATGATTCTTAATGATGAGTTTTCATTTCGGAATCGGTAAAGGCAACGTCCAAGTATAATGTTATAGACAAGCGTATGGTTGCAAGAAAGAAATACGACAACAGCAGAAATAGATTTACGTGGTTTATTTCAACAGGAACGTGTGGGTTTGGGACAGCTACCTTGTGGTAAAGTTCATAAGCCGGCTTCGGATCTAGGTCGATCTCTCATAGTAGTTCACACATGTTGATGGTGGTTGATGCTCCCCTGCTGTCAGCTGCTGACCGTGACAGGTCTCTACCCTGGCCACCTGTGGACTGCCTGTTGAACTTCCGTGTGACCCCTTTATAGCGTTTTTTTTATGGCTTAACAGGCTCGAAAAACGAAGCGAGTATAATTAGGAGGGAAGCATTTTTATTGGACGGAAAATAGAGCACTTTAAATATTATTTTATTTTTCGACCGGAACACGTGTGTCGGGAACATTTGTAAAGAAAGATAATGGTCATTTTGTGACGGGGCTTTCTCCCGTTCACATCCGGTTCTCGCTCTTGAGTATTTGCCTGTAAATCAGCCGAGATATGTCTTATTTTATTTTATAACAGTACCAACATTTATATTTTGGTTTTCATATACGAATCATCAAGAAAACGGTGAATAAGTTTTAAAAAGAGGGAACAGTAGAGAGGAAAACGGGATCAGTAGGTCTCAATAGCAAGAGGGATGATCGTTTCAGCTTATAGCTAAAGAGATTCTTATTGTTCAAAGTAGAGTCCAATAGTGTTATAAACACCTCGAAGAATTCCAGTAAGATATGTTTAATCCTTTCTAAGATACAACGGTTCAAATCTTAATCTAAAAAATGGACAATTCTGCTGTTACACGATTTGGACAATTTTGCTGTTACACCCGGTATATACATATATATTTGTGTGTGTGTGTGTTTGTGTGTGTGTGCGCGCGCTCGTGTGTGTGTGTGTGAAAATTTCAGAGAGAATGTATCTATAAAAAAACATTATAAATAAAGACAAAAGGAAAACTGAACAAAATATGTTTGCCCATAATTATAATTCTACCACCTTTGTCGGAAGGCTACATATGAATGGTTTTGATGCTTGATATTTCTTTTAGGGGTTCTATATATTTGCGAGGAAGTGTGGATTCATTTTTTTTTTTTTTTTTTTTTTTGAGTGTGGCTGTTATTAGACCCCGAATGTATCCTTCGTTGAAATCCGAGTCATTGTGTTGGTTTTTAAACATGAAATCTGTAATATCATTTTTCAGTAATCCACTCTCAAATTTTAAACCGAAGCTAAACTTTACTCATTGTGTATCCGATGGTTTGAATTTGAATAAATTTGTAATTAAGTCCTTTCTGCCGGTTTTATGTCTTTCTATACTTAAAGATTTTTGAACAACCAATAAACATTTTTGGTCTTGTATATAAATACTTGATAGTGCCTCAGAAGCCAAAGCGCGTCGGCTAAGATAAAGTTTTCCTTTTGATATGACTTATTTTATTTTATAACAATAAGAAGCTCCTAAAATAAGCGATGCGTGTTCAGTTATCGTCGTAAGTTTATTTCTTTTATTTTTTCGGACTATACTGTTTGTTTAATGATCGTAGGATAGAAAAACGAACCGTATGATCAGATCGAAAATGGAGTACTGTTGCCATACTTTGACGGGGACTGCCAGTCTTAACTTTCCAGTCTTGATAGAGTTTAAAAGCCTCTCCGAATCCTCGTTGGAGAAGAATTATTTTCCACCCTCTAACCTCTTCTCATCACGAAACACTGCACTGTGAAACAGACTCCCAAGAGGATGTTTCCCTGATAACTACAATTTTAACCTGTCCAAGCCTAGAATTAACCATTATATTTCCTTCATATCCATATAACCTTTAACGTAACCCTCTACCTCGAGTGGCCCACGGGCCATGTACAGGGCGGACCTTACTGTAAAAAAGAAAACGTTGCAACAAAAAGCAATAAAATAAGTCAAAAATTTATATTGTCTGAGTTCTTCCGAACGCTAGACATACTGTGTCTGCATTTGTGTTATTTTTGTGAATTTCTCGCAAGGATTCAATTAACAGAATAAGAAAACAGGAAAATTTGCTAAAGAATCTTAGTTCCTGTTGATTCGGTTTTCTGGAGAGATCCCAAATGCTGACGTTAGTTTGTATCCTTAAGGTAAAAGAATAAGAAGTAAAGAAAGCAAGGGAAGCACCGAGATTTGGATTCTTACCAAAATTCCAAATGACAATCTCTGGCAACAGCTCAAAAGTATTTTCTTACCTTTTTATACGGAAACGCATCAAAGGAAAGTACATTGTTGTACGGTCTCACACGAATCCGTCTTTTATCCGGAAAAAAAAAGAAACAACTTGTTTGGAGAGTTGCCTCTTCTAAGCCTAGCCATGTCTGAAGCGGCCATCGAACATCAGGAATTTCAAAATAACAAATCAGCCGCAGAGAATTATTACCAAACCGCTACAAAAGAACTGAATCTCGACTCAGTTAAAATGGCCAGTATTGGTTTCCATAAACACATTAAGAACACCGCAGATTAATCACCTGATACTCGTACAAGTGTCCTAATCTTGGTTGTTGTAGTCACAACTTTTCAGATGTTGTATCTCTGGCCTTCATCAGCAAGGCCGGCCCGTCTTACCCGTGAAACCCACGACCGGAACCGGGGGACGTTTTTGTGGCCCTGTTGTGTCCCCTGGCATTGTTTTTTTTTTTTTTTTTTTTTTTTCAGAACAAGAAGGAACCCCCACAACCGCAAATCAATACAGCAAAGAGCGATAACAATCAACCAGCATAATTAAATAGGTGCCTCAGAGTAGGTTAATGGTAGGTGTGGCTAGTCTAGTTGACCTTTACTAGTAGAGCGGGTTCGATTCTTGTTGGGTAACCCAAACCAAAAAAAAAAAAAGACATTAAATAATCCAGCAAGAGTTGAAATGTTAAAAAATGAATCAACCTAATTAAATTGGTTCTTCCTCGTCAGATTGAGACTTTCATATAGGTGTCAGGCATAACGTCGAACCCGTTCAGTAATATCTAAACTGTCAGCTGTAGAGAACCGCTTCCTAAGATCAATGGTGACAAAAGGCTTTGCGCATGTGATGCCTGGATGTCTTGGCAAAGATCACCCTATTTTGAACATTGCAGACAATCGCTACAGATTCACAAACAAAGAACTGTTCTCTGGAACAGAAACCACATCACTTGAGGACCACCAACAGCAGCAAGAGCTAAAATGGATAGCACATGTAACTCAAAGAGAAAATAACAACATAATCAAGATATTAGCGTTCCACACTACTTCAGATAAAAGATTAGGAAGGAAATACACATCAATACTCGAAAGAGCGATAACAGCTACTGGACTCGAGAAAACTGTTTTCCTGAAAAATTATTTTAAGTGAAAGATTTTATAGATTTCAACAGTAGTACTGAATGCTGAATGTTTCCTTATAAGGAAACGGTTAATATTACCATTACTTTACATTAGAGATTATGAGAACATGAATCCTTGAAAATGGCTAAATGTATAGCCGAAAGCGGTCGGATAAAAAGAATATTCTGATAGTTTTTATATAATTTATCATCCGAAAAGAAAAAAAAATTATAGATCGCATGAGAAATTGTATTAAAAAAACTGAATAAAAGCATCTTGCGTGTCGTTTTCAATGAAATGTGCATGAAAGAATGATTGCTGCCTAAATACACACACACACGCATACATATATATATATATATATATATATATATATATATATATATATATATTATAAATTAATTGATTTAAAATATGTTTTTTTTCGCTATACAGTTCTAACCATGTTTCAAAAATGGAAGCTAAAAGCCACGAATTTAATTTTGCAATTAAATTAAAGACATTAGTTCCATTTCATCCTCAAGCGAATTTTGGAGTAACTTTTAAAATTACTGGGTTTTAAAGACAGCTAAAATCACGTTTCCATATTTTAAATCAATTAATTTATAATATTAATGCTCTGTAAATTTAGAGTGAGCACTATTTTGTAAAATAAAAATATCTATAAGAACACCGGATTATATATCTTACTGTTCTTTTTTATATATATATATATATATATATATATATATATATATATATATATATATACTGGATTTACTAATAATCATGTCGGAAAGATTGCATTGAGTCATTTTGAAAAGTTGACTAAGGAAGAAAGTAAGAATATGCCTATGAATTAAATAATTTGGGAAAGATAGATAGAAAGAAAGAAAGAAAGAAAGAAAGAAAGACTATCGTATACCAATGAATGAAGTCATTGGATTAACAAGAAAGAACAACTATACCAATGAATGAAATCATTTGATAAAAAGAAAGAAAGAAAGAAAGAAAGAAAGAAAGAAAGAAAGAAAGAAAGAAAGAAAGAAAGAAAGGATATTGTATACTAATGAATGAAATCATTGGATAAAAAGAAAGAAAGAAAGAAAGAAAGAAAGGATATTGTATACTAATGAATGAAATCATTGGATAAGAAAGAAAGAAAGAAAGAAAGAAAGAAAGAAAGAATATTGTATACTAATGAATGAAATCATTGGATAAGAAAGAAAGAAAGAAAGAAAGAAAGAAAGAAAGAAAGAAAGAAAGAAAGAATATTGTATACTAATGAATGAAATCATTTGGATAAAAAGAAAGAAAGAAAGAAAGAAAGAATATTGTATACTAATGAATGAAATCATTTGGATAAAAAGAAAGAAAGAAAGAAAGAAAGAAAGAATATTGTATACTAATGAATGAAATCATTTGGATAAAAAGAAAGAAAGAAAGAAAGAAAGGATATTGTATACTAATGAATGAAATCATTGGATAAGAAAGAAAGAAAGAAAGAAAGAAAGAAAGAAAGAAAGAAAGAAAGAATATTGTATACTAATGAATGAAATCATTTGGATAAAAAGAAAGAAAGAAAGAAAGAAAGAAAGGATATTGTATACTAATGAATGAAATCATTGGATAAGAAAGAAAGAAAGAAAGAAAGAAAGAAAGAAAGAAAGAAGTGATAGTTAGAAAGAAGATGAAATAGATTGCCAGCACACAGTTTCAAAATGGAACTTGTCGTCGGTTATTTTATATGGAGTAATCTCTACTTCTGTAGCTTTTCTGAATCTATTGACACATTCAAGTGACTTTAATCTTTCTCCTCCCTGACAGTTTGGCGGAGACAAGAAATCTTACGCCTTAAAGAGTGTCTCTTTGACTGCTTCCAAATAATACTACACGATTAGTTTTAAAGGGCACAACATCTAAACAGCCATAATTTGCAGTTGCAAAATAACTTGGGGAAAATCCAGTTAATTTGACCCAGATTAATAGTGATGCATAATGTTTGAATTTAATAATTTGCTTGGAGTCTTGCTATTTCTTTTGGGTACAGTTGTAAAACATTCTTCTTTTTTTTTTCTTATTATATGTTTTAATGCCGGGTGGATTTGTTCAACAATGTATACAGGTTTTAATGTATTTATTTCTGTATATTCCTCGGGGGCATCAAAATGAAGCAGGTGTGAAAATTTAATGATCTGGGTAGATTAGAAAGAGACTATGGGAAGTGAGATACTGAAATGAGAAGACACATAAGAGACTAAGTAAAGTATTAAAATAGATAAAAATAGAAATATTCTTAGAAATAGAAAAAAAGAGTACTTAACTGCTACATAAGGTCCATTCTAGCAGATAGGCGTTTTAGGGGAGTTAATAATAATAATAATCCCCTAATATTTATATATACAAAAAATACTCGTAAAAGGAGAAACATCAAGATGTATTATTTATTATCTGGTTATCGAGGTGCCTAGAGATTTTCCAAGCGTAGCTTAGATGTGGCACAAAGGCCGAAATTAGGGGCACCCAGTGAGAATCGAACTTACTATTCAGCCGTAATTGTTCTAACGAGACAAGCGATAACGATTACACCACCTCGAGGTGCCCTAGAGATTTTCCAAGCGTAGCTTAGATGTGGCACAAGGCCGAAATTAGGGGGCACCCAGTGAGAATCGAACTTACTATTCAGCCGTAATTGTTCTAACGAGACAAGCTTGCTAACCATTACACCCCTCGAGGTGCCCTAGAGATTTTCCAAGCGTAGCTTAGATGTGGCACAAGGCCGAAATTAGGGGGCACCCAGTGAGAATCGAACTTACTATTCAGCCGTAATTGTTCTAACGAGACAAGCTTGCTAACCATTACACCACCTCGAGGTGCCCTAGAGATTTTCCAAGCGTAGCTTAGATGTGGCACAAGGCCGAAAGTATGGGGTATCCACTGAGGATCGAACTCACTTTTCAGTAGTAACTGATCTAGCGAGACAAGCTTGCTAACCATTACACCACGCCGAGGTGCCCTTATCTGGTTGTTATATGGTTTCGGAGACACGAGAGACAGTAATATAGTGATGTAATGGAATAACCCGGCACCCCCATGAATGATTACACTATAGGTAGTAAGTACCTATAAAGTCCACTGTCTACGAGAGACACGAGGACAGATAGGGAGAAGAGCGATTTCTACATATGGGGTCTATTCAGGATTTCATTGAGACAATGAGGTATTTTGGTGAATGTAGTAAGAAAGATAAGTGAAAATGTGTTGTTTTAGTGTTAGGATTATTGTTTGTGTGTTTGGGTCAGTGGTTGTGGCTAGCTATGTTTTAATTAAGACAGATGATGACCATCTTTCCCCATCCCCCCATTTTAGAAGGTCTACATTTTCTGTGTATTTCTACACGAATAAATATTCAGATAGGGAGAAGAGTGATAGACAACGCAAGCACACCCGACCTTCCAATTAGTGGCACTCACTACTAGTTTGACCTGTGTGTATAACTGTACTGTATTTCATATTGTACTGGTTGTGTACAATAAACCTTTCTTCTAGTATCCACTTGGTGTTATGCGTTTATTCCCTTAGCACGGAATATAACATATAGATCGGAATCCGACAGTAGGATAATATAAAGAATAAGCAAAGTATATAGTCTTTCTCATATGACTTTTTCTAAATATGTTTTAATGAGTGTCCAGATAATTAAATAGGAAAATACAAAAGTGTCCGGGTTTTCTTGCCTCGAATTTTTGTTGAGGGCAAAAGAGAAATGCTACTATTATGACGTGACAAAAAAAAGGAAACAAAATTTTCGTTGACGAACGTGTTAACGACCTGTCCATGTGGACTGTCCGATAGTGAGAAAGTCACTTGTTTTTGTGTGTAGAGGAAAAAAGTGGGTTCAATTCTAATTGGTTTAAAGTGAGTGAATTAATGGTAATTATAATTGTTATATTTATTTTATTATGATTATTTTTGACATTATCATTAATTTTTATTTATTTAATTTTTATGGACACGACAAAGTGTCAGTATAATTAATTTTTTATTTATATATTTTTATGGACAAGATACTGTGATGCTGGACAGTCACTTCATAGATGAGAAAAATAACCTTAAAGAGAAAGAAATGTGGCTGCAGTGAAAAATACTAAGATGACCAAAGACATAACATTTGGTCAATGAGCAAGCTCTAAGGAGAATAAGAAAACGGCAAGTTAGACTTACAATCAGAACGAGCTTGATTGATTCGTTTTCTACGGCCTATCAATCCATTGCAGATTATTTAATGCTAGCTATTAAAATTTATACAAGCGAAGATTGGGTCCTATCCAGCTATTAGAATTTATACAAGCGTAGATTAGGTCCTACCCGGCTATAAAAATTTATACAACCGTATGTTAGGTCCAGTCCAGCAATTAGAATTTATACAACCATATGTTAGGTCCAATCCAGCTATTATAATTTATACAAGCGCAGATTAGGTCGTATCGAGATATTAGGATTTATACAAGCGTACGTTAGGTCCAATCCGGCTATTAGAATTTATAAAAGCGTAGATTAGGTCCAATCCAACTATTACAATTTATATAAGCATAGATTAGGTTCGATTCAGATATTAAAATTTATATAAGCGTAGGTTAGGGCCTATCCAACTATTAGAATTTATACAAGCGTAGATTAGGTCCAATCCAGCTATTAGAATTTATACAAGCGTAGATTAGGTCCAGTTCAGCTATTAAAATTTATACAAGCGTAGATTAGGTCCAATTCAGCTATTAAAATGTATACAAGCGTAGATTAGGTCCAATCCAGCAAGTAGAATTTATACTAGCGTAGATTAGGTCCAATCCAACTATTAGAATTTATACAAGCATAGATAAGATCCAATCCGGCTATTAGAATTTATATAAGCATAGATTAGGTCCTATCCAGCTATTAGAATTTATACAAACGTAGATTAGGTACTATTCAGCTATTAGAATTTATACAAGCGTAGATTAGGTCCTATCTTGCTATTAGAATTTATACAAGCGTAGATTAGATCCTACCTTGCTATTAAAATTTATACAAGCGTAGATTACTTCTATCCAGCTATTAGAATTTTTTAAAAATTCAGTTGTTTTAGTCGATGTTTTCATACAAAGAATAACCATTATGGAATTCCAGTCATTTCTTACTCCAATTGTGCTTATTAAATTCAGAATATAATTGCTTTCACCTTTCCTCCGGCTGTATTTTGAATTAAAAGAAGATGGTAGAAAGACACATCTCGGATTGTCTATATTATAAACAGTTAATTTGAAAGGCTGTGCTATAGTAGGAAATGTTTTTAGACTGTAAGAAGTTTAAAAGATAATAATAATGATTTAGTGATACAAGTTTTAATAAGTAACTCATAACTGGGGGAGAAAAGATGAATTCATATCTTTCCCAAAGGGTATTTGTGCATAAGTGAATATAATGAATCCAACTGGAATTGGAACTCGGCCCTCCGATTAATAATCCCGAGTCATTATCCATTACACCACCCGCGCATCCAAGCTTACAGCACCTGGTATTCCCAAGCGGTCACCCATCAGAAAGAGGGAGTCAACTTCGTGAGAAACAAAGAAAAAGTGTAGAATTTATTTTATATCTTATCACTAGTGTGGTAGTGAATGTTAGACAATAGCTGTAGGTCATAGCGAGGACTATCCTTTTTTATAATTTTTTTTTTTATAAAAAATTACCAGCAGTACATTTTTATAGTGAAATAATAGTAATTATATTTTCATAGAAAAACATCAACACTACATTTTTATAGTAAATCTAATAACAATACATTTTTATAGTAAAATTGCTAACAACACATTTTATAATAAAATGATCAGAAAACCATTTTTATAAAAATGATCAACAATACATTTTTATAGTAAAGTTGCCAAAAACATATTTTTACAACAAAATGTTTCAGCAATACATTTTTATAGTTAAATGATCAGCAATACATATTTAGAGTAAAATTGCCAACAATACATTTTTATAATAAAATGATCAGCAATGCATTTTTATAAAATGACCAACAACCTACTTTTATAGTAAAATTGCAAACGATATATTTTTATAATAAAATGATCAGCAATTTATAAGAACAAAGATAGGACAAAGTATTAAGAAATAGAAAAATATCGTTAGAAACAAAGAAAATAGTACTGAACTAGTATGTAATATCAGTCCTCCGAGATGGTAGTGAATGCAGAACAATCCCCTCACATACGAAGAAGAGACATGAAGCAACATAAACGTGGTTCTACAGAAGGATGCTGAGAATACCATGGACCGAACATGTGAGCAATGACGAAGTTTTAGAGAAAATGGAAACAAAAAGGACACTTATATTTAACATCAGGAAGAGACAGTTGAAATTTCTAGGGCACATAATGTGGAAAGAGGGCTTGGAAAATTTAACACTCACAGAACAGACTGGCGGCAAGAGGTACAGAGGAAAACAACACATAGCATAGTGAGCTTGAGTAAAAGGATGGCGGAACAGGGTTTAGGAGAGATAAAAAAGACAAAATTTATTAAGAGTTCCAAAGGACAGGAAATTGTGAAGAGCCACGATCTCCTACGTTCTGAAAAGATACGGCCCACAGAAGAAGATGGTCGGTTATCTTATGACAGCATCCGTTCCAACCTTAAGTATATATGGGTTTTGTGTAAGGGTTGTAAGAAAATTCACAAAGCATTAATGTATACAAAATAATTATATATATACAGTGTAACCCGGATATAAGAGACCCGGATATAAGAGAAACCCGGATATAAGAGTGATTTTGTCTGGTCCCAAATTAGAGCCTGTGTTAATGTATATAAAATAGACCAAACCCGGATATAAGAGAAACCCGGATATAAGAGACTTCTTCGGTCCCGACAACTCTCTTATATCCGGGTTACACTGTATATATATATATATATATATATATATATATATGTGTGTGTGTGTGTTTGTATGTGAAAGTTCTCAGAATAAATCTGTAGAAAAGACTTGAATAAAACAGACAATCTGAAAACAGTACGTAGCACTTGCAGAAGCGTTTCATTATCCGACTTTATCAAGGCAAGTGATAAAATTTCGCAGAAGCGTCTTTTAAAAAATTTTGATTTTCGAGTAACTATACAAAATTTCGCTTTCAAGGACTAAGTATGGACAATCGGAAAATAGTACTTAGTCTTTGCCGGCGAGTTTATTATATATATATATATATATATATATATATATATATATAAATATATATGTATGTATGTATGTATGTATGTATAAGGAGTGAAAATGCACAAAGCGTTAATACATACGCAATAACTTTATTCATTAATATATACTTAATAGCTATGTTATATAACATTACCACTGTTTTTATAACACCTGAGAAAAATATATATGTACGTGCAAGTGTATGTGCGTATACATATGTTTTATCATCATACCCATATCTATCTATCTATATCTATCTATCTATATATCTATATATATATATATATATATATATATATATATATATAAGACATTTTTATGTTTAACGTTCTTTTTTTATAGATACAAGTATTTAAGTAACAATGAGACATTTTTGTTTTTGTGTTAGTAATCCGAATTTCTTTCTTGAATTCTTGAAATACTAACACAAAAACAGAAAATGTCTCATATCGAGAATATTTAACATTGACAAACATACAGGAAAAAAATGAATTATTTTTAATAATATGTGGAAATCTCCGCTTTTGCCTGAAGACGGTCGCGAGACCAGAAACACGTGTAGTAAAATTATGGAAAACAAAGCATAATATTTTTTCTAAATAAATCCACATTACAACCAAAAACGTTTTGCGGCACTTCTCTTCTCTTCTTTTTAATATATATATATATATATATATATATATATATATATATATAATAATAGAAAACAGAAAAAAAAAATCGTTGCAGTATAGAGTAACCGAATCATTGTAAGTGCGAATTTTGAATTCAGTTCGAAAGAAGTAAATATATTATTGCCTTTGAGGTTCGCAGATGCTGCTTACAGCTGATGATGTCAGGAGAGTGCGCTTAACGAAACCTATTGGGGCAAACAACGAAAGGGAAGAAGCTAAGCAGAAAATCAACCAGATTCTACCGGCTAGAATCCACCCAGACTCATATTCCATCAAACCTGCGTAACCGAAAGCAGCCTTTTATGAGCTGGCTTTTCTTAGAATTACGTCCATCAAAAATCAGGCACCGAAATCTAATTAGCGCTTGATTATGTTAGCATGCAAATATCCGCTTAAATCATTGTTTCGTACCAAATCGGTGAACTCATTAACATTTCAAGTACTACAGGGACAAGAAAGTGTGGGTAACAACAAACTCAAATCACCTTCACGGCCGTACCACGCACATTGGAGTGAACCATCATTATTTCCTTTGTATTCTAATGGTGAGATATAAGTTCCATCTGAGCAACCTCTTTCCACGAGCCGTTGTTTATGGATCTGACTACAAATAGGAAACGTCCCCAATCACTACAATCTTAACTTATTCAGGTCTAGGGTCAATCGTTATCTTCCCCATATATCCCCATAAAAGGTACCTCTTATTCTGTAACACTCTACCTCGAGTGGATCTTGGGCCTTGTACAAGGTGAACACCATTGTAAAAAAAAACAAAAAAAAGAAACAAAACAAAAAAAATCGTCCGCTACCAAATATTCCAAGAAATCGAACTAAAGATAAACTTTTCCAAAACGGAAACTATGATCTGGAATTGGAATGAAGGCAATGATGGCAACCTACCCTGACGTCCTGGGTATGACAATAAATTACATCAGGCAGCAAGGCCCCTGATCAGGAGGTTTTGAGGAGAGTAGAACCACCTCTTTATTGCTGTTGTTCCCAGATCCACCCTGACCCAGGGTCGTAGTACCTTTTAATAGTTAACCACCCAATTGGGGTCAAAACACCGTGAAAGTATAAAAGTAGATCTTTATAGTAAAAATAACAGTAATACATTTTTTTAAAAATATTACCAGCAATACATTTTTGAAAAAAAAAATATTAGCAGCAACACATTTTTGAAAAAAAATATTAGCAGCAATACATTTTTGAAAAAAAAATATTAGCAGCAATAGATTTTTGAAAAAAAAATATTAGCAGCAATAGATATTTGAAAAAATTATGAGCAGCAATAGATTTTTGAAAAAAAAAAAAAAAAATTAGCAATACATTTTTGAAAAAAATATTAGCAGCAATACATTTTTGAAAAAAAATATTAGCAGCAATACATTTTTGAAAAAAAAAATATTAGCAGCAACATATTTTTGAAAAAAAATATTAGCAGCAATACATTTTTGAAAAAAAACATTACCACTAATAGATTTAACTCTCGATAAAAAAAAAACTCTTTACAAAAATACGTCGATGAAACCTGGTCTACAAACTGATTTCCTGAAAAGAATATATATTCTATTCATACGAACCTATCCGAAAAATCTTTTCGGCATTAAATAACCCACTGAAGTTGATATGCCGTAAAACAAAATAAACTAAACCAAAGCTACCCTGAATCTATCATAAAAGTTCAAGATGTGGAATTAATAAACACGAAACACTTCAAATACTTCGGCGTTATAACAAATTTAGTACAGAAGATAAGAAAATTGGACATACACCCTTGTGAAAATTACTTGAAACAACCGCCTTAGTTTCCTTTCTTTCACCATACAGTCAGTTTTAGATCCACTGGAGTGACAGGGTGTAATCGATTTCTATTTTTTCCTCAGATTAGGCCATTTGCAGTGGTGTGCAGTAGTATGAATCTATTTTCGGGGTGTATGATGAAATTTGTTTGGCCTTTAATTATATTGTATCATCCATGATTGCATCAGATTTTCATCACGCCCACATTCTATTGCCTCGACTGTCGATTATTTGTCCTACGACCATTGTCTGCGATGGACATTACTCCAAGAAAGCGTACGAAAATTTTAAAGCTACACGAACACACTGGCAAGCCTTATCAAGGAGCAAATCAAAGTACTATAGACTGGATCGGAAAACTCTCTTGATTTAAATCCAGTCGAGAATCTGTGGTCAATACGCAAGGAACGACTTCGTGGAATGGACATACGAAGTACTGACATGTGCACTGCGACATGTTTCACTGGAAAAATACGAAGAAAATGTAACTAATAGGGGAATTACTCGTTTTGTTTCATTTAATTTGCACAAAGATGTAGAATAGGTTGCACTAAGGATAGTTTCGCCCAACACCGCTAGGTGCCACAAAAGCAAAATATTAACCTAAAACCTCGAATCATATTCATAAATAGCTTCGTTAGATCAAGACTTTCGTATGGGTGTCATGAATAACGCATAGCACGCTAAGAAATGTTCAAACTGTCAACTGTATGCAACCATGATACACACACACACACACACACACACACACACACACACACACACACATATATATATATATATATATATATTTCATTAAAAACGACAGACAAGGTACTACGGTTGAGCTTTTTATTTAATTTTTCTTGTTTTCTGGACAAAGAGACACACTGAACACACACAGAACACACACACTCTACTAAGCTGATAATTGAATCATCCTTGATAATGGCTAAAGGTATAGCCGAAAGCGCTCGGAAATACAAAACATTCGGACAGTTCTTACACACTCTTTGTCCAGAAAAGAAAGCTCTTGTCAGAACACAAGAAAAATTAAATAAAAAGCTCAACCGTAGTACCTTGTCTGTCGTTTTAATGAAACATGCATAAAGGAAGGATTGCTGCCCAAATATACACACACACACACACACACACACACATATATATATATATATATATATATATATATATATATATATATATATATGCAGAGTGTCCATAAAGTTCGTGTGCACTTTATAAAATTTTTAGATTTAAAGTGCACACGTATTTTATGGACAGCCTGCATATATGCAATTGATGAGATACCTTAATCGGATCTGTTCTCTGTTCTATCAAAGTTTTTAATCCCATTGCATTTGTGCATTTCAGGTATCCTGTTGATGAAATAGGTACTGTTAAATGGACCCCTAAAATGGCTACTCCTCAAAATGAGTCACAGTGTGTATCATGGTTAATTGAAACAAAATCGGATACACAGACACAGCGAAACTACAGATCTGAATATGGAAGAGATCCGTCGTCACGTCCGTCAATTTGTGCACAGCACAAGAAATTTATGGAGATAGGGATAGTTTTGGATAAAGGGAGAAGCTGACGACCAAGAACATCTGATCGATCGTGTAAATCGATAACCGTCTTGATGTGTTTCCTGCAACTAATGGCTCCCATATAGAGGTCTATTAAATTAGTTTAAAAAAAAACTTCAATATCTATTGCACATTTTGTAACAATTTCCACATATTTCTTTGTTAATTTGCTTTTGTAATTTTTTTTTTAATTGTAAAGAGATTTGATGAACACTTTGTATATCAGGCAACATTTATTTTCACCTAAGATCATGATCTTTCATATAAGATAGATATGTATTTCTTTCTCTTGGAGATCTCGATCGTCCTACATTCTACTCAGCATATTCTTATACTTTCGTCAGAACTTTCAAAATCCTCTTAGCCCTGTTGACTATCCGCGGTTATGTCTTTATTTGTTGCATTCTATAGGAGCCATCTTTCGCTGTTGTCTGCAAGATTATAACTGCGAGTGCTTATGGAAATCTTATTTGCACGACTTTGGCCACTATACCGTTCCCATTTTTTGTGTTGTTGCTTCTATATATAATTCTGTGATTTCGGTCCGTCCATCACACCCTTTAAAATACCCATACATTGACTAATCGAAACCAAATTATTTGAAGAAATGCGAACAAGTAAGCGGGTACAAAGTACTGTTGTTTTTACTAGGGTGCGTAGTTAAGTATAATAAATTTTCATTAATATTTTTGGAAAAATTAAGTTTTATTATTCAGCATACAAAATACGCCCACAATTTTGAATACTTATTTAATAAAAATTCAATATTGTTTTTTGTGTATCTTTTCTTTAAGTTTTTATATGAAAGAATGCAGTATCCATTTCGCTCTGCGTTTGCGAGAACTATAAACAAATCACAAGGCCAAACGCTTCAAAAGTTGGAATTTATGCATGACCAGTTGTATGTTGCATGCTCAAGAGTAAGAAATCCTAAGAATTTATTCTACGCTGTTAAAAAGAAATTAAAAGTAATTTTCTTTAAAAAATATTGTTTACCATGAAGTCCTATAAAATTGGATTAAAGAAATGACATAAACCGCGAAGTAGGGTTTTTCTCGAAATATTTTTTTAAACAAAAAATCTTATTCAAATTTCATCGATTGGTTTGTGAAATTGAACGAAACGTAGAGTTTGTAAATCTCGACAAAAAATGTTAGAGATAACTTCGACAATACTAAATACTGTGAGGATTTCTATACGCGTTACAAAAAATTCCAGCATTATAAAATCAGATTTTTCCAGGCCTGACGCTTTATTCTTTTTATATTACAATAATGGCTGCTGAGGTGAGCTTCCAAACTACAATACAATAGCGAGAGTTCATTCTTGAGAGCTATTGAAAGGTTCATGATCTTAGCTGAGGGGCAACCGTTGACTGAATTTATCATAACAGTAATGGTTGACAATATTAGCTTACTAACAGATAGCGACAGCTATTGGGCAGATGTGATTAAGTATACTTTAATGTTTAAAAAAAAAGATTATTCAGTGTTATTATTGTTTAGGTAATAAACATTATAACATAGCACAAATTGCTATATTATGGAAAAAGGAATTTTTGACAATATACACATTTTTTACGTATTTATAGTTATTTTTTTAAACTTTTATCAAAAACGACATTCTTGTACATGTAGTTATGGATAATATACATTAATTACTAATAACTATTTGTGATCAGTTTTTGACATTAATAGCTATCTGTTTATGCGTTAAAATTTTGGAATAATGCAATAATAAAAATTTAAATGTCATCTCTCTGATAAATGTCGCTATTTGTAAATAATATACATTTTCAACAGTTGTTAAGCCTTGCTTTAGCCTGAACATTGACTTATGAATTAGGAAACTACTGATTACTGAATATATTCGAGCAGTAATGGTCGTCGTGGCTAGCTTTCAAATTAAGATGGAAACGACGAATGGTTTATTATTGATATTTGCTAAAAAAAAACGTACATAGGTTGAACAAGAACACTGAGTGATGACTGAACATTGAACATTTTCCAATCTGCAACCTATTTCCATGCCAAATGTTCAGATGAACTGTTATATTTAGTTCCAGTAGTTCAGACCTTTACAGCTAGGACACGGCATCCACAAAGTCGAATCACCGTCATTTCCTCCATATTCCAAATATAAGGAGAAGGTTATCCTCAGATAGCTTTTCTTCCTCAAGAAAAGATATTTGAGTCCCGCGTGGATACTTCCCTGAATACAATATTATCCTCTTCTAGTCATGGTTCAATCTGTCCTTGGGTTTACTGTCACATCATGTTGAAACACCGGTCCTCGTAAGATCAACGAAGTTAAGCAACGTCGAGTCTGGTAACTATTTAGATGAGTGACAGCTTGAGAATACCAAGTGCGGTAAGCTTGGATTTGCGGGTGGTATAATGGATGATGGCTCGGGATTGTTTAATGGACAGCCGAGTTCCAATTCCCGTTGTGTTCTTTATATTCAATTACAAACAAATAAACTTACAAAAGTATAAATCCACCTCTTCTCCTCCAGTTATGGGTTAATTAGCAAAACCATTATTATCTAAAAAGATTTCTTACAATCTAGAAATATTTTCTGGATTTATATATATATATATATATATATATATATATATATATATATATATATATATATATTTCAATTAAAAGGTGCAATTATAATTTATAAATTCATGAATCATTCATGCAAAAAACAAATATAGAGGTTAATGATTTAAATGGCGAGAATACATCATCGCAAACAATATAAATAAGATACACCAACCCCGAACCTGTATATGAATGATATGATCCCTGTTTATAAATTCCAGTTGCATAAGGTCTTTTTTAGTTTTTACAAGCTTTCGTCTGTTCCCGCAGACATCATCAGATATGGAAGTAGATTTTGTTCTTGTTTGTTTTTTTTTTGTATGAATGATTCATGAATTTATATATATATATAGATAGATCGATAGATAATATTAGATGTAAATATACACATACATATGCAATCATATATCTAAAATATATATAAATATATATACATACATACATATATATTTCTATAAAAAAATAAATCCAAGAGGATAGAATCCAGGGAGAACTCAATGTCCGGGACAGAGTAAGGATATAATAAAAAGGCTTAAACACTATTATTCCATGGTCATAATTGATTCCATTGGAATCGTAAATACGATCCAATTCATAAGACATACATATTCAAAAAGAAAACAGAAAAAAATATGACCATGGAATATTAGTGTTTAAGCCTTTTTATTATATATATATATATATATATATATATATATATAAAGCCTTTTAAATTCCTTAGGAACATAAGGCCGCAAGATATCGTTGTGGTTTATATAACAAGTTTTTTTTTAAAGTGAGTAGGTTGTTAGCCTACTGCACAACTCCCAACCTGGAGGATCGAGTTTTGAATTCAGAGTTGTTCTTCTCCTAGACCAGTTGCCATCCAAGGCTATAGAACCCAGTTCTAAATTGCTATTTACCCATAGGAGGGGGAGAAGAACAGGTTTCACAACTTTCCCAATGGTATTAGCATGTAAGTGAATGTAATAGATTCGATTGGAATTCGAACTCGGCTCTTCGATTCCTCAATCCGAACCGCTATCCATTACTCCACCGAATGTTTAATTTTGTAATTAAGACATTTGAAGATTGGATGTAACTTACCACGATAAAAAGATATAGAATCCGGTCTATCCTGCTATTTACCCATAACTGGGGAGAGAAAAAGAGGAATCGTACCTTTCCCAAGGGTATTAGCATGTATGTGAATGTAATGGATTCGATCGGAATTCGAACTCGGCCGCTATCCATTACGATATTTATTTCTGTTAAAAATACAGAAAATGTAGCACAAGGCCTAAAAAGGGGGATGGGGAAAAAGGACGGTCTTCACCTGTCTTAACTTTAAACTTAGCTAGCCGCAAACACTGACCCAAACATACAAACAATATTGCTAACGCCAAAACAACACACTCTTACTAACCTTTCTTAATACATTCACCATAATACCTCATTGTCTCAATGAAAATCCTAAATAGTCCTTATATGTACAAATATGTACAAATTGTTGTCTGTGTGGGGAGGGGAATAAAACAACAAGTTAAAAAATCCCCAATGAGTTTGTACAACATGAGTATAATCTATTTACAAGAAACTAAACAAAATCCTGTTAGTAATAAAAAAAAAAAAAAACCACAATCCTTAAATGTGGCAGAAACATCAGTTAACTGGACGAAATAAATGCGGGAGTATAAAAAATATAACATTCATTCATCCCTAGCACTCACACAGACACGCACTCATTCAAACACGACAACAAAAAACGAAAAACACACAAAAAAAAAAAAAAAAAAAAAAAACGAAAAGCGCCCCGCATCCACCAGAGAACTGACATCACTGACCACCTAACGAGGGAGATGGGGAATTAAACTAAAGAAAAAATAGGGACAGAAATAAAAGGGGCCAATGAGCAAACACCCTAACCAAGTTTACTGGGGAAAAAAAAGAAAAGAAAAGAAAAACTAAAGAATTAAAAAACAAAACCTACACTAGCTTAGAAAAAAAATCGCAGTGTGAGATAGGCAAGAAGTAAGGCATGTAGCAACATTAGCACGGCAAAGGGCACTCCTTTAAAGGCAAGGAAGGGCAAAAATATTTTAAGTCAAGTGATAGCGATTGCTGTATGAGTTGTACGATTTTTGAATCAAGCACGGGCAACGCCGAGTCATGCTGCTAGTTCAACATAATAATTTTAACAGCAACCATCTACATTGACAGGCTCTCAAGTATTTTATTGGATGAACTTTAGTATTAAAATATAGTCTTCGAGGTTCGCTTTGTAAATCTTATACCACACTAGGTGGGTCAGTTATTGACAGGTGTTAAGCTTAATGTAATCTGGCACATGGCCTTATGTATAGAGCATCTATTAATGGCTGAACTTAGCACAGTAGTTATTATTGAGACAAAATTCCACAAAAGAAAGCAGTCGAGAAGGATCGTTACTGATAGTGGTTCAGTTTAGCTTAAACTATCCCAAGGCTTTATGTGTAGACAGCTTAGTGATGACCGAAATTAATACGGTGTGGAGTTTATTATTTATAGTTAAGTGGGATTAAGCTGGCACATAGCTCACCAAATAATTAAATAAACAATTTTGAGTGAACGCATTGCAGTAGTAATGGCAAGTGTACTTCGCTTCCTAACTATTATACCATTGTGTGTGACCCATTATTGATAGACGTTAAACTGGTTTGGGCCAGCCAATGTACGTAAGTGTAGGATACCCAATATTGACTGAACTTCGCTAAAGTTTACGGCTACAACAGATTGAAACACCAGTTCCCGTACGATCACCGAAGTTAAGCAACGTCGAGCTTGGTCAGTGCTTGGACGGATAACCATCTGGGAATACCAGGTGCTGGATGCTTGGATGTGCAGATGGTGTAAGGGATAATGGCATGGAAATGTTAACAATAGAGCCGAGTTCAAATTCCCGCTGGGTTCGTTATATTCACTTACGCGCAAATACCCTTGCGAAAGGTATGAATTCAACTCTTCTCCTCCAGCTATGGGTTAATTAGTAAAACTTATTTTAAAAAAAAATTCTTACAATGTAAAATATTTTCTGGTTTTACATAACCTGTAAAGTGTTGATAAGCTGTAGAAAACGAAATAATCAACATTATTCGAACTATTATCCTCATCTTTGTCGCCATATTTATTACAACGTTTCGGCCGTTGTACGCTCCTGCCTTCTTCAGGTGACTGGAATGTCGAACTGAACCCTTTATTTTGCTCACTGTGTTAGACTGTGCCACGTGCCATGTTTAATGGATGTCAGTTATCAGTAATCTCCTGTTAATTCCCCTCTCCAAGTTCTCCACTGCCGTAAGTGGGTATTGAACTCACACTGTTTACACTCAATATACTTGGTAAGTGTCTCTTATCAATCCTCTCTCAACCTTTGTGTCCTATGCCAACACATGAAAGTGATGGACACTATTCTTCCAGCTGGCATTGATAACAAAACCATGTTCCTAAAGCTCTTAACTTGTGCTCCAATATTTACTCCAATATTAATATCAAGTCCTTTGATTTTGGTTTCTTGGCAATAACATACCTCCATGTTATGAGTTGGTTCACTGTGTCGTGCAAGACATTTTTTCTCACCTGAATCTATCTTAGATATTTATAAGTCTACCATTCGTCCATGATTTGAATATTGCTGTCACATATGGCCTGGTGCTCCTGCTATATATTTAGAGATACTTGACAGAATTGAAAGAAGAATCTGCAGTGTTATTGGTCTTGATCTATCATCTCAGCATCGCTCACATTCCATCGCTGTAACGTAGCTTCCCCGTGCCTTTCACATAATTATCCTGATTAACTTTTCTTTAAGATACCTAGACTTTATAAATTTAAGCACACTAATAGATTGGCGACAACTTCTCATCATCTTACAGTTTAAATGTCTAGATGTAACTGTAAGTTTGATGCTAACAGTTTCTTTTCTCGCTCTTCTCGCTTGTGGAACTCTCTTCTGGCTTCTATATTTCAGTTTAGTTTGATTTTCAAAGATTTAAATGCAATGACAGTTGTTCTTTTATTGTTCTCGCTCTTTAATAATGTTTTTTTTTTCTATTATTTTTTTCTATTCTTGCTCACTCAGTAACCCCATGCGTTTTAGTGGCTTTGTTACCTTACTTGGGATGAAATCTTAAACAAAAAAAAAAAAAAAAAAACTGTTAACATTCCGAGCCAATAATTCATGCTTTTCTTTTTTCATATGTTCTCTAACATTAAATGTTCTGATTGTAGAAACTTTATATACAATTGTAGGTATTTACAAAGTTTTAAATAAGAAGTTACCAACTTCTAACTATTGAAAATCAGAGAAGTTACTAATTTCTCCGCCATTTACAGTTAAAGTAATAATTAAACATTTAGACGCTTAACGTGAATCCTGTTTCGTCTGACTGACGTAAATTTCGTTCTTTTGAAAATAAAACTCTTTTCCTGTTGTCGCCGATTCACCCGTGAAAATTTCATGGCTTTTCTGTTTTAATTTTCTAATGAATCTTAATTCGTAAGTTAATGATTGAATAAGCTCCCTGCGAGTTCTACAACAATAAAATAACTCTGGAAATTTCCCTATTGCATCGTTGAATATCTGAGCTTAACTTTTATAAAATACTAGCAGGAGAGCCCGGTGTTGCCCGGGGATATAACAGTAAGAGATAGATCAAGTATCGACCATCATAAAGACTGAAAAATAAAATTGACAAAGATTATTGTTTAAGGTTGACGGACACGCATGACTTAATTAGTTTGTTTTGTTTTTTTTTGTTTTTTTTTTACGAATTGGTCAAACCCAAACTCAAACAAAAACATTGTTTTCAATCGTTATGTGTCTATCGATTGAATAGCGTTTTATTATAAACAGTTGTCTTGTAAATGGAATTTTTAAAGCGTTCTGAATGTAAAAATAAAGAAAAAAGTGTGCAAGACAATAAGAAACACTACCTGCCAAAAAAAAGTGAGGTTTTGTTGAAATCGGTTGAAAAATGTAGGAAATCCGATCCCATATATAAACGAACACACACAAACAAACAACCTGGCTTTTATAATAAGTATAACTCGATATGAGTTGTCCCTCTTTCATTCTCGCGACAGCGATGCCTCTTAATCGTGTTGTCAAATTGATTTCGTGCAAAAACAATTGTGTTTTTCCAATTTTTGGCGCTGTCAGAACCACCGCAAGGTAATTTTACGTAGTCCTGTGAAGTTTTGTTGAAATCGGTTGAAAAATGTAGGAAATCCGATCCAATATATAAACGTACAGACACACACACACACACACACACAATCTGCGTTTTATAATAAGTAAGATTATGGCATGCGTATGAATGTAGATCATTATTTAAAGAAGTATGAGGGTACAAATGAAAAGATTCGAAACTGTCAAGTATTTCCATTTCACTGAAACAGACGATGAACACATACGAACATCATCGCCTCCTCTACGTTCTTTTTCTTTCTTTCTCTCAATGAAAACAGAGTCCCTGAAATGTATTTTAGTATTTTACACGCCATCAAAACGGAATAGTCAATTACTTATGAGGTATAGGCAGGACGTAATATCCGCACTAACTAAGGAACAACTTTTTTTTTGTTTTTATCCGAAATTATTTCATCCTACTATAAATGCTATTTTTAGTGGGTACACGTATTTGAATTGCTATCTCCGCGTTTTATTTTTTTATTAAATAGTGAAATTAACCGGTCTAAATTGAAAAGTCCGACTAAAGAAAAATTGTGCCTCCGAATGAAATCGAACCTGCAATTTAGACGTGCTGTCATTAATTCCACTGTTTAATAGAAAAAAAAACTTTTAAAATTCAAACAGGGAGGGATAGCAACACAGACATGTGTTTCCACTAAAAAAAAAAAAAACAAAAAAAAAAAGAGAAGACATTTATAGTAATGTTGGATAAAAAAAAATATTTAAAAAATTACTGTTGTTTACGCTTCAGGTAAAGGCTGAAGTTAGCAGGTATAGATTCCTAGAAGTTCAAACGAATAAACTTACTTTTATTGAACAGCTAAATTCCAACTCCGACCTGCGAGGATGGTCTCTGTAGCCGAGCTGGTAGAGGCACACTCTGCTTTCCCTGATGGGAAAATAGGGATGAATGTGTGGACTCATCCAATATCCTCACCTTTTCTAACCTAAAAAAGGTACAGTCCACATCGTACGCCTACGTACTAAAAAACCTCAACCAATAGAAATGGCGAAAATCGAAGCAAGCAATTCCATTGGTCAATCGTTTTCTGAAACAGGAATTGCGCCAAAACGAGTTGAGCCACCCGGTGGATATATAAAGGAAAAGCAGACAGCCCCATTCAGTGGAAGCGGAGCAGCAGAGTAGCTGTAATTACCAACCTTCAAGATGTAACATTTCACCGACTCCCGTCAGTCATCGCTGACCAGACGATAAAGAAAATTACCAACTCCATTCAGTCAGTCTAGCTAACTCACCGAGCAATTGCCTAAATACTCCACGACGTTTCGAACCATAATTTTGCCGCGCTTTTCAAAGAACATTCACTGACTCACTTCGAACATTCGACGAACGACTCTTGAAACTTTTCACTTAATTTCTTATGCATATTGATTTATAATCATTACAAAAATAAGAAATACGAAAGCGAATACAAATACAAAATACGATTAAGGGTAGACTACTTTGACAAACTCTTTTGCAAAAAACTCTTAATTTTATTATTACAATCTTTGATACAAACAAGAAAATAGCAAACATTACGATACAAGAGACATTAACCATTTCAGCATACACATACAATTTACGCACGCAACTCATACAAATATTATTCCAGTTTGTAAATGTTTAATTGTATATAAATGTTGTATTGTTTTGATCTATATATGTCTCGTTTTTTCCTTGTTTGAAATATCCGATTGTTTGTATATTTGTTTGGGACGCGGTCAAACACGCAACCATTAATAACAAATCCTTCTGATACGTTAAACAACCACGACGTCCCCAACAAATGTGCCCACTAAAAAATAAGGTTTATAATAATATGTGTATGTGTATGTGTGTGTATGCGTATGTGTGTGCGTGTGTGTAAAAAGTGCAGCAAGTGTTCATCCAAACAAGTATGATTAAAATGACAAGATATCTGTTTAATTGAAATGGCGGAACGTAACGTGCTGTAACGGATATTGGGAACGAGGCTGTACAAAAAGAATGCAATTTATTTATTTCAAACTACCAGCTTTCCCCAAAATATCAGGATGTTGGCAAACGAATTCTAACTGCCACACAGTGACCATTTTAGTTCTTGATGATGACTGTGAATGTCGTAAGTACTTTCAACAAAACAATAATAAAATATGAACTTCGGACAGTTTATTCACTACTTTGAGTAAAATATTGAAAACCTTACGCGAAAGTTGGAAAAACTTCAAAAACATGATAAAAAATTAAACAGACATACCTTGTCGGATATTTTTAATCAAACTCATATATATATATATATATATATATATATATATATATATATATATATATATATATATATATAAGTGTAAATGGATATAAATCCGACAGAATGAAGAAATTTTGAAAAAAAAAAACAAAAATCCTTAAATGTAGTTAAATGAAAGAAATGTCGACGTCTGACGTTTCGGTTTATTAAACCTTTTTCAAGACAATATTCATCAAAATACAATTCAGTTCAATATGACAAATACGATGGACATAAAAACACAAGTCTTATTCAGAACAGATAACTGAAAATTTTTAAAATGATCAGCCTTCCGTCTAACATGGTCACGCTGTCGTCACATGGGCGACGCTTTCATAACGTATTCCTAAAAGTTTGATGAATATTGTCT